AATTGTTTAATTATATTATTTTATTGTTTACTTCATTTTATAATGAATAATAATAAGAATATATTTGAAATTATCAATTAATGTTGATAATAATCAGAATATAACAATTAAATGAAATAATGAATTGATGTTATTATTCATGAAGATATGAAAATGATAAGAAATAATAAATAGAATTTATTGTTAATTTTCATTTAAAAAATAAATAATCTTTTTGTATGTAATTTTATATAAATTCAAATTAAATAAATAATAGAAATTTAATGAAAATATCAAATAATAAAAAGGGAGTAATCATCATTTTTATTTTATATTAATTTTAATTTGTCTTTCATTTTTAATGATTAAGAAATAACAACAATTTCAAATAAATAAAATTAATGTTATGATGAATGTTAAAAATGAAAATAAGAATATTGTTATAAAGATAATCAATATAAAGATATGAGTATGAAAAATAGATGAAAATAATAAAAATGGAATATTTCTAATATATTATCAAATATAGATAAAAGAGAGTATAAAAATAAGAAATGAAAAAGAACAGAGAATAAAGAAGTGTGGAATACTGAATTATTGATTTTTCATTAATCAAATGAAATATTAAATGTTATTGTATTTTTTATTCATTAATGTAAATCTAATAATATTGATTTATCAATTAATATACATTGTTAATCTTATCATTTATCTATCATCTACATCATTAATTATTTTATTCTTGAAATTTCATTTATTTCATTATTCAATAATTTAATAAAAACATTAATGAAATTAGAATTGATAATAATGAAGAATGAAAATATAAAATGAATATGATCAGATTAAATATAATAAATATATTTGAACAATGTTATTAATTGAATATTAAAAAGAATAGAAGTTGAAATAAATGGAATTTGAAAATATAGAATTTAATTTGATAAAGAATAAAGAAAATCAAAGAATAATTATAATAATAGAAGAAGGATAAGATTAAATACAGAAATATTAATGAAATGATATTATATTATTTATATTATTAATATTTTAAATTTGTTTATATTGTTTAAATTAAAATGATAAAATATAATCATGATTTGAAGAATATCGAAATTCTATTAATTTAAATAATATTAAAATAATGAAATAGAATTATAAAATAACAATGAATAAAATATTTATAAATAATGAAAATGATGTGGTATTTCAATTCATGAAAATTGAATTATTATTAACTAATATATCTTTATTGTAATTTATGATATTTTCATCATTATTAATATATTTATAATGAGTATTGAAATCAATTTCATTAAAATATGTAACTATTACATATTTATATATTTGATTATTCTTTATTACATCATAACAAAATATAATTAATAGATTGAATAATGTTATGATTATGTTTATAATATTTTGAAATATCAATATTGATTATTTTATATTTAATACTTCAATTAATAATTATTATTCTTATATCTTTATTAATTTGATGAATGAAATTATTTTTATATTTAATAACATATTGTTACTGATAATTTCATATTATTAAATATATTATTTATATTTCTTATATATTCACTTCATTTCTTTCATTTAATTATTATTTAATTCACTTATTTATTATTAATCAATTTCATTTTAATCATTTAATTATTTTCTTTCATTTATATGTGTTTTTATTATTTCTTTTATTTCTTATTTGTCGTTGTCTTTTATTATGGTATTGTTTATATCTATGTTGTGTTTTATTATGATATTTATTTGTATTATAATGATTGATTCTATTTGAATTAATGATAAAATATTTATGATGATGAAAATGAATGAAGTGATGAATGAAATGATTCATACAATTATTATAATAATTGTTATGATGACAGTTATTATTATGGTAATGTTTAATATGATAATTAATGTATTTCTATCAATACAGATAATATTTGTTTTCATTCTTTTATTATTGAATTTTTGTTTTATTTTTTGTATTTCGTTTTTATCAAAAGAAAATAAATGAAAAATATAAATAAAAATAAAACAAAAAATAATAATTTATATATAACAATCATTACCCCTTCAATGTTATTATAATTTTATAACAACCATTTTGAAATAATAAAATTAAATGAAGAAACAATAAATTGTAATATAACATGAAAGAAATACGAAATAAGTCAAATGATTTTATCTATTTTTAATTTAAATAATTTCAATTCAAGAAAAACGATAAAAATAAATGAAGAATAAATAAATTATTTTGAAATTTTACATTGATGAAAATTTTTTGTAATGTCATTTCATGAAAACATAATTAACGATAAAATATACTGAAATATAAAAATAAAAGTGAATAAAATATTAAAACAAATGATGTTTAAAAGAAATAACTAATTAGAAAAGAAGTAATTCTTTTAAATAAATAACTTATTTTTTGAATTATCAATACTCAAACTACAAAATAAACTTATTATTCATTAAATGTCAAGAGTAATAGTAAGATTCTTTTTAAATGGACAACCCGTTTCAACTAAACCACTGACTTCACAAGACAATTTGAAAACAGCAAGAGAGAAATTAAAAGAAAAGATGTCTGGTTCTCAACAATTCCTAACAAAAGAAGGAGATTTAATTGATATAAATGAAGAAGATTCATTTACTATAGAAGATGTAATTGATTCATCAAGAATAATAAATATCAAAGAAAAAGAAGATAAAAAGGAATTAAAAATAAAATTAAATGACAAATTATTTAAAACTATTGAATTGGATAAGAAAACAAAATTAAGTGATGTCAGAAAATCAATTCAAAATATTCCAGAATCTGCACATTTCTATACACTTGATAATGAAATAATTGAAAAAGATGAAGAAGAAACATTTTTAGTAGAAAATATAATAAATAATGATGAAATTAATCTTAAAAATGAAAAAGGAATGGATACTATAACAATTGGAATATATTTGGATGGAGAATCGTTCATGAAAAAACAATTCGATAAGAACATTTCTCTTTCTGATATCAGAAAGAAACTTGAAATTGTAACATGTATAACAAAAGGTTTTATATTTGAAGATGAAGAAAGAAATAAAATACAAAGAGAAAATGAAAAATCATTAAAATTATCATCTATTTTATATGATAACAAGATCAATATAACAACAGAAATGTCTGATACTTCATCAAATAATAATACAACATCTGTTGGTTCACCATGTAATACTACAACACATAATACTTCATCAAATAATACTACAACTGTACCCAGAAAAAATGTTCCAATTGAAGGAAGTATAAGATTGGAAAGCCATGAAAAAGGAAAATTGAAAATATATTTATATCCAAATGAACCATTTAATCAAAAAGAAGAGAATGAAGCAATTGCTATTTTAGTTGTTGGACAAACAGGAAGTGGTAAAACAACATTATTAAATAGTTTTGTAAATGCATTATATGGAATCAAGATAACAGATGATTTTAGATATATAATTATAAATGAAGATAATTCAGAACAAAATAGAGATCAATCTAAAAGTCAAACAAGTAAAGTTTCAATTTATAATATTAAAAGAACAAAAAGAACACCACCAATAAAAATAATAGATACACCTGGATTTGGGGATACAAGAGGAATTGAATATGATAAAGAAATTACTAATCAAATAAAAGAAGCATTTGAAACAAAAGTATTAGATTTAAATGCTATTTGTTTTGTTGCACAATCAAGTAACCCACGATTAACAGCAAGTCAAAAATATATATTTGGGAATATTATTGATTTATTTGGGAAAGATGTGAAAAAGAATTTTATTGCAATGCTTACATTCTGTGATGGTGAAGACCCACAAATTATTAATTCATTACAATCAAAAGACTGTATTTTCAGTTCAATTATTCCAGAAATAAATGAGCCATGGTATTTAAAATTTAATAATTCAGCTATTTTTGCTAATAAAACTAAAGATGAATTTACACAAATGTTTTGGCAGTTAGGTATGAAGAACTTTGATGAATTTATTAAAAAATTAAAAAAATTACCAAGAATATCATTAAAACAATCTAGAGAAGTTTTGAAGAGAAGAGAACAAATTAAAACTCAAATTGAAGGGCTGAGAATATCATTAAATAATGGAATATCAAAAATGAGTGAAATAGAACAAACATGTGAACAATTCTATTTGAATCGAGATAAAGTTAATAATAATCAAGATTTTACTTTTACTGTAACTATAGAAGAACAAGTTAAGTTTGTCTTAAAACGAGGAGAATATGTAACCAATTGTTTGAAATGTAATAGAACATGTCATTATCCATGTTATATTTCAGGAGATGTAAAAGATAGATGTTATTGTATTGGTGATAATGGATATTGTAATGTATGTGGATGTCATTATACACAACATGCAAACTCAGAATACAGATATGAGTATAGAGAAAAAACAAAAGAACAAACGGCACAAGAAGTACTTGAAAGATATAATGAAGGTATAAAAGGTATGGCTAGTGCAGAAAATCTGTTAAACAAGTTGGAAGATGAATATATTAAAATCCAAATGGATTGTTATGATAAAGAAGTAGAAATTATAAAATGTATTAATATATTATCATCAATTGCATTAAATGATAAAATTACTAGTTCCAATGAATATTTAGACCAATTAATTCAAACAGAAAATGATGAAAAGAAAAGTGGGTATAAAGAACGAATTGAAGGATATAAACAACTTAAACAAGCAAATGAAATAATAGAAGATATTATGAGAAAATCAAGTTCAAAAAAGAGTAAGGAAGAGATTAAAACCGAGGTTGAAATAAAAATGAATGAATTAAAACAAGGAGAAAAATCAACATTAGGTAAATCCATTCAAAAAATGAGAAGTATGTTTTTATCAGAAAAACAAATAATTAAATGAAAGTTTTAATTCATTGGTTTTAAAATTAATATTTAATTAAGTAATAAAAATGGGGAACCGAAATAAGCAAAGAAATAATGCATCTAAATAAAAAATAACAAAAAGAAAAGGGCAAAATATTTTGCATCAATAAAATAATAGTTTTTATTATTTTGCTCCTAAAAAAATAAAAAATAAAAAAGTAAATTAAATAATCATTCTATATTCATTTATATTTCTTTATATTTTATATCATTTTATGGTAAATTGTTATGAAATATAAATGATTCAGAAATGATATTTGATTCAATGTATGTATACATTTTTATTATTATGTTATTATATATGTATTTATGTATTTTATTATTATATATTTTATTATATATATTTTATTCTTATATTATATACATCATCATTTTATCTATATATTTTATACTTATCATATTTTATTAGTTTGATATTCTTATTATTAAGGATTCGAAGGTAGCACGTCAGAGACACCACACAAAACCCTAAAATATTTCCATCCTTCGATTCCCCCAGTTATGGACTGGTTATGACGTGCCTTGGTGAGGTAATGCACCACCCAATACTAGATGGTTATTTTTTTATTATGACTGATTATTATGGAGGCATTATTTATAAGGATTATTATTTATTTTGATATGAGACTATTTAATTATTGTGGTGGTAGTATTATTAATTAGGACGCAACATATTTATCAACAATAGATTTGGGCTGAGTACATGGTGTGTTATCAAGAAAAAGGGTTCTTTAATTGGTGTCGATGATAAAGAAGATAGGCCATAGTCTCATAGTGGTTATGGATATATTCTTCTAATATAACACATAAACAATGAAGAGTTTTTTAAATACTCATCTAATTCAAGGTATGAATCAGGCAGCAACTTAAATGATGAACCATTTAAGTCGAGCGTGTTTGAAAAAAACATTATTTCATATAAAATAAAGCATGATGAAGAAACTGGTTTTGCTCACTTCTCAACATGATGAAAACCTAAATATAGGTAATTCATAATTGATTCCTTTCTAGTTTTATATTCTTATTATTTATATTTTATTTTATATATTAATATATATTTATTTATATGACCATATTGGCATTATCATATGGGAGGGGTTAATAAGAAAATACACAGGAAATAAACAATACAAGAAACCCCCATATGAAACAGTGTTCCAATACAATGACATTACTATGATATGGAACAAACAAATAATGCCAAAAAGTGATGGACTATATCATAAAAGACCAGACATATATGTACTAGATAAAAAGAATAAAACTGGTCTAATAATTGATATGACTATTGTGGCAGATCATAATATTAATGGAGGGTATTGGAAGAAAAGAAATATGTATAAGGAATTGAAAAATAGGGTAATGAAAATAGAGAAATTAAAAGATGTCAAAATAATTGGAGTAGTAATTTCGATTAATGGGCTAGTAAATGCCGAAAGTATTAAATTAATTAAACAATTAAAAATCGAAATTGACATCACTAAAGAAATTAAAAACCTTGTAATTAAAAACATGATGGACGTCATGGAGCACTGTGGAGATCACAACCAAACATATGTAGTTGAACTACAAGACGAAGACGAAGGGACGGGATTAGTCTCCCCTGAGCCAGGAACAATAGATACAAGTTCTATTAATACTTAATTAACTACTTTTTTTTAATATATTTTTATTTATATATAATTTATTATATATTAATACATTTCTTTATCTTATTTTCATTTTGATTATATTTTTATATTTTATATCAATTTTCTTTTTATATTTATTATTATTTTATATATTATATTGATTTTATTTATTATTTTATTTATTATTATATCATTTCTTTTCTATTATTATTTCTTTATCATTTATTATTATTCATTTAATTTTTATATCTTATATCTATATCATATGAAATTATTATTTATTATTTATTATATATTATATACTAATCATATAACATTTATAATTGATTATATATTATATTTTTCTTCTTTTCTCTTCTTTTTTATATTATTTCTTTTTTTGTTGAATATATTTGTTTTTGTATTTTTGTTATTTATTTTATTTCTTATTTTTTGTGTTTATTTTATTCTTATTTATCATATTTATCTTTTATATTATGTTATATTTGATTTTATTAATTATATCATTTAGTATTTTATTAATATAAATATTATGTTTATTATTTTATTATTTATTTATTTTTATTATTTATTTTATCTTTTCTTATTATTCTTTTATTATTTTATGTTTATTATATTTTATTTTTTTATTTCTTTTTCTATCTATTTTTCTATTATTTTTATTTATTATATATATTTCTTTTATTCTTATTCTGTTATTATTTATATTTTTTATTTATTTTATTTATTCGATTGTTTAATAAAAAATATATTCAATTTTATTATTTGTTTATTATTATTATTTATTTTTATTTATATATTAATTTGATTATTATATTTATATTATATCTATTTTTTGTATTATTATTATTATTTATATTTTGTATTATTATTTATTTATTATTATCATTTTTATTTATCATTTTGTATTATATTATTCATTATTTAATGAATTTAATATTTATTATGAAATCATTTATTAATTATTTTATTTTATAATGATATATTAATTAAATTATTTTGTTATATCACATTGATTATTTAATATTTAATGATAGAAATTAATGATATAAGATTAATATAATAGATATAAATAAAATGATGAATATTGAAACAATCATTTAAAATCAAAAATAAATAATAAGAAATAAGAATATAATATAAATAATAAAGAATAAAGAAAAGAAAGATAATAAAAGAAATAAATAATAAATATAAATCAAATGATAATAATAAAAACAAATAATAAATAAATGATAAATAAATAAGAATAATCAAAAATATAATAATAAAAATTAAAATTAAATCAAATCAAAATAA